GACCTGGTGCATCTGGTTTGAGGCAGACTCAGAGCCATCAGCCAGCTCAGTCAGTTCAGGCCTCGAGGTCCAATCAGGGGGCTTCATCGTCCCAGTCTGTGCAGCAGTCTTTTGCTCCTAGAGGTAAGCAGGTAGATCAGGGGCCTACAGGGCGTGTGTATGCTGTTACCACGCAGGATCTTGTACTGGCTCCATCAGTTGTGAGAGGTACCTTCTTGTTTTGCAACTCGATTGCCAATGTGTTGATTGATACGGGTGCATCTTATCAAATGCTAATGTTTTAGTTATTGCTCATATCATGTTTAGCATATCTCTACTGGGCATTGGCTCACCCTATATGGGACATCTTTTTCAGGTACAAGTAGCATGCCACCTCCAAGGACGTAACTTGAGAGGCTAAGTGGCTGGGACATCTTTTGTGATTACATTCTTGTATTACATGTATATCAAGCCAAGGGCTTATTTTGTGTTTTGAGTTAGGACTCTCCTTTTTGTAACCAAGTGTTGGCTTGGAAAGTTGTAAGCCCGCAGGGCATTTACTTTTGTTGTCAACATGTAATACATGTTGTAATGAATACTCTGATGAAATGTAATTATGTTTTATTCTCTTATGTCTAAGCATGTCAAGAATGTTTGATTTATGGGTTTATTTTGAGGGCGTTACAACTTGGTATCAGAGCGTACCGGGTTTGAATACTTTGGGTACATGGGAAGTGTTCAGGGGGAAAAATTGAAAGTAAATCAATTATATTATCTAAGGACAGCAAATATGATCTAGACTTCCACTCATGCGCATCAAAATAGTTCCAACAACAAATTGCTACAGGTAGATAGTCTGAAATTCACCTTTACAGTTGTATCAACTTCAAATTCTTCTCGCCATTTAAGATATTGTAAAAACATATCTTTTGCTTTCATCAGATCAAAATCCCTCATTCGCAAAAATCTGACATGACATCATGGAAGAAAACCACTGTAAATATATGTAATAGTAAAATTACTCCAAACAGAACATCATCTTTGCCCGATTCACACTTCACCACACAGTACTCAAACAATGCTACATAAAGAGCTTAACAAACTTCATTGAAACTACTTCATCCCAGAAGGAGGCTAATTATTTATGTATGTAAAAATGTCACAGCAGAAACATACCGTAAAAGTGTGTGGTAATCACACTGTGTTTCCCTGGCAGATGGCCCTCGAGCAAAAGCAATTCACGGAAAGATTGAACAATTTGATCATCTTTTGGATCACGAGCTTCTTTGGGAACTGCTAGCAATAACTTCTTCTTCTAAATCCAATCCTTCCATACCCAGATCAAGTTTATTTATTTATTTATTTATTAAATGACCTAGATTACAAAAAAAGAATAACACTCTTGTTACATAGTACCTAATGAATTCAGAAAGTGATATATTGGTAGACACTTCATCGACTTTTTATTGTCAATGCTGGATCTGGTTTTAGGGTCCTCTGGAAAGCACTCATAAATAAAAAAGAACGAGAACAACATTCACCATTCACCATTCACCATTCTGTTCCAGTATAGCCGTATAGGACAACAACAGAACGAGATTGTACGGAACAGTATTACACAATAAAAGAGTCACAATTTTATATTAAAAAAATAATATTTAAAAGAAAAAATAATATTTAAAATAATAGTAGCCACAGGGCCTTCAACCTTCACCCATTCATGTGAAGTTGCATACTTCAACCCTTCTAGAACTGCAAAAAATTCACACAATTTCATGTATATATATAAAGAAAAAAAGAAAAGAAAAAACCAGAAAATATGAAGAAAGAGGAAGAGAGTACCAGTAGAGAGGCATCTAGAGAGAGAGAAGGCAGGAGAGAGATGAGATTTGGAAGCAAAAGAGAGTCTAAGTGCATTAGCTGTGGAAGAAGCCCACATTCTCAGTGCCATAGTACTAGTATCTCCTTTAATTTTACTTGCTTCTCTATCTCTGTTGTTTGCTCAAAGAGAAAGGGGAGGCTCCATATATTTTGCTGGTTTTATCTTTGATGAATGGTGGTCAATGAAAGCCTCATCCTAGGAGTTTAGGACCCTCACTCCCAAGCCCATAGTAGTACATTCATGTATGTATTTATGTTGTTATCATGTGATAATTCTTTGTTATCCTTATATGAATTCATGGAAAATGCAGCATTTTTAGTCTACATTATTTGAATAACATGTTATATATGTATTTAGAAATAAAAATATTTAATAGATTATTACAAATTTAAAATGATTTTACTAGAATTATATGTATCTATTGATTTTACTTAACAAAAACATACAAATGATTTAGATTGAAAATAAATCAAAAGTTCAAGATATAAATTGACAAAATTTAAAAAGAAGAAGAAGGGTATGTGCAATTCAAGTCAAAGTATTACAACAAGCTTGTATTGTGATGTTTTCAAACTATATCCTATATGTTGATCAAATGGTAGACTCATGTTATATTGTACACACAACAGCAGATTTCTGGGAGAGATTTGTGCAAATTAAAGTGAACAAATTTAAGCTTCTAGAATTGTCATTTCAATAGAACCATTTGGCCCAACTAGAATTTTCATTTCAATGCTATAACATAGGTCCTTATAGGCAAACTAATTGCAAAAAAGGAGCAACAATTCTCACCAGTGATCAGCTACTCCAGGAAATGCACAACCAAGATACCTAAGAATTGCAGGACTGCAAAGCATATCAAATGCATAAGATAGTCAATATAACCTTAAAAACAGAATGTATAATTCTCACCAGTGATCAGCTACGCCGTGATATCTTCTTTTCTTTTTTTTTTGAAATTGTGCTAATTTTTCATCTAATCAGCTAGTTTCGACTCTCAAGTATTATATTTCATGAATAAATGATGTTTTCTTTTTCTAATCTACAACTTGAAAACAAAAGAGTCATTAATCTCATAATCAACAACCATATCCAATGTTCTCAACAACAAAAAAAAAAAAAAAAAAAAAAAGGCAGCCATTTCCAAAGCCATTTGGATTTTATATTCATAACTTCCTCCCATGATGGTACTCTTGAATGCAACTCTCTCTGCAGTCTTATACAAATAATTGAAAATTGAACTTTCTAGACACCAACATATCCTCTCATATTACACAAAGTATCTCCCAATGATATACAAGAATCATACACACAGATACCTCAGAGAGCGAGAGCCACTTGAGTCAAATGCAACAAATTACAAAGAAATGTATCTCTGACATTCAACTTACAAGGATTAGAATACAATATTTACCTCCCAAAAAAAAGGAAAAAAGATAAAGATAAAGATAAATAGAGAAAGAAATTACCCAGCAACAGCGCAGGTATTTTAACCTTATCCACTACAAGGAAGCAACTGTACTGATTTCTTGCATTTCTTGTGTGTATTTTGGGTGTAACAAACTAACAAGTTGATGATTTTGCTGGTTTGTCCCAACTCCCAACAAAACCAATTGCAAATGTATTGTAAAGAAAAAAAGAAAAAAGAAAAAGAAACATGACAGGTAAAGAGTATTTCAAATCTTTAGTTCAAAACAAGCAAAGCATTTCAAGAAAACAACATAATAGTGTGGAAATGCCTATATATATACATATATGTATATAAGTATATATATCATTTATTAAAGAGTACCTGGATCTTCAAGAACTCTTCTTTACTCATATTTTGAACTGAAATAGAACACAACCAGAAGGGTACAATAATGGAAAGACAAAAGCATAACCAAAAAATTCAACCTCGAAAATTTCAAATTAAAGTTTTTACCCAACATTGTTCTGCAAGCTGCCTGCTCCTTCGATATTCACTACTTCTGTAATACCCAAAAGCAAGAAGATAAAGCTTTTCCCTCATTTTGCAATGGGCTGCCACTATTGGCTAATGAGGCTGCCAAAGAAGAATTGTTTAGTTTCTGACAAGGGCTGAAATTTCATATACAAAATCACAAATAAACGCTCAGAATTTCAAAACAATACAAATACGGTAGGTCAACTGTATCTGTTCTGTGTAGCTTCCAACATCAATAAAAACTTAAAACACAAAGGTGCAGTGAAAAATAATAGAAAAGCAGTAATAGCATAAACAAAGCTAATCATGACTCCAAAGGGAATGATGGTGATTACTTCAAATACAAAAGTGGAATGATGGTGATTACTGCAAATACAAAAGTGGTAAACAACAAGAGGATGTTAAACGGAATGAGTGGAAAAATTAAACAAGATTGAAATCACAATTGTATGAGAACTATAAACTCCTTGCTGTAAAGAAAAATTATTTAGTACTGAATTTATTGGTTCGGACCTTCAAGCATAGCTATCCCACACTGCACATCTTTTGGTTGTTTGGAATGAACAAGAGCCCATGATAACTGCATAATGCTCTCACTCTTTAGTTCATCTGAGACACCATTTGCAGACTCTACAATTTCTCTCTCACAGCCCTACACATGAAAGACTTCAGAGCATAAACAAAAGTGTGGAAGAACTAGAGAAAATTATCTAAAACTGTACCTGTACCCCCTCAACAAGAATATCTAACAAATTACCTAAAACTAAACTAATCCGCAAAAACAGTACCAAGATGAGAGGTGAATACAGAGAAATCAATATTTGTTGCTCATCAGCCTCAGCCTCAGCCTCAGCTTCATCTAAGAAGACAAGAAGAAGAAGTGATGGAAAAGAAAAGAAAAGAAAGATGAGAAGTGGAGCTCACCGATCTGAATCGCTGAAATGAACTTCGATTTCGATTTCGAGAGAGAGAGAACTTCGAAATGGTTGAATCACCGATCTGAAATGATATGAATCATCGATCTGAAATTATCTGAACTTCGATTTCGAGAGAGAACTTCAAACTTCGAAACGATCTGAATCACCAATATGTTTCCCTGAGATAGATCTGAATCTATGAATCTAATTAGGGTTTAGACAACACACACACACACACACACACACACACACACACACACACACACACAGAGGAGCTCACCGATCTGAAACGATTTTGAGATGAACTTCGATTTTGAGACAGTGGAGCTCTGATGAACTTCGATTTTGAGACAGTGGAGTTTGAAATGGCTTTGAGATATTAATGGGGTTTAGACAGCACAGAGAGAGAGAGAGAGAGAGAGAGAGAGAGAGAGAGAGATTTGGAGATTCAAGAATCAAGAGGGTGAAAAGAGTGAGAGAGGGAGTGCCTGAGAGATAACGCATTCGAAGGCGTTCAAAAACGTCTTCTATTTACGAAACGGTGCCGTTTTATTTAACGAAAAATACAACGTTTATAAAACGCCGTTACATATTATAAACAGTGGCGTTTTAAAAAACGCCGTTAAAAATACGCCACCACAACCCATATTTCCTGTAGTGAGGGGGGGGCTAATGAAGGTGGGCTTGTTGGAGATTAATAAAATAGGTGAAGTGGGATTGTCGGGAGTAAGGGAACGGCACAACGGAGGTTGGGTATGGCAACGTATAATAAGAGGAGCCAAATGAGGGGAAGAGGGTGGCATTACTACTTTAAGAGGGAAGGAAAGGGGTATCATCGTTGCTGGGAAGAGGGAGGAAGTTGGCATCGAGGGGTATAAAATGATAGTCGATGGGACTGGCGTCAAGACTAGGGAAGGGAATGATGGCAAACGCTGCGCCTGGTGTGGACATAGGGTTTTTGAGGCCGTCATTTCCACAAGAGAGGGACCAATGACTTCCTTAGGGAAACCAAAGGTCCGAGAGAGTTTGTTCATTTTAGGAGTCACCACCCGGTTATAGGTCCCGAGAAACCGCATATATGAGCATCCAAGGATAGGTGTCAGTTTCGTTATATACCTAGTGAAAATGAGCTCGGGGGCTAAGTCATTAACTGGGAATGCGTTAAGCACCCACTTAGCCTAACCATGTGATTAGTCTCTACTTTAGAACAATCTTGTTTCATAATTAAATTAAAAATAAATTCCAGACACACACACATATATATATAAGATATCAGCAAATAATCAAAACAATAAAACTAATTATTAAATGATAATAAAAAGAAAGAAAGAAAGAAAGAAAAATGCATCATAGGCAAGAGGAATATAGCATAAAATCTTAAACTTAAGAAAAACTTCTATCATCTTCCTAGGCATGCAAATGACAGTCATAAACTAACAGAGATAGATTGTTCCCCCCCTCCCCCCCCCCAAATGAACATGTCCCCCCCCCCAAAAAAAAAGAGGCTAAAAGAGATAACTAATAACAACAAATACATGTACAAACTAGAAAATCGGACCTGAAGGGCTAGGGCTATTCAACTCACATTTCTTTATCAAAAAATGCAATATGCAGATTTGTTTTTAGAAAATTTAAAGGAAGAAGATGATATGAGTAAAAGCAAAAACTTTATATCCATGCGCTCGTCCTTGTTTCTCCAATGAAATCCCTTCAATTGTGAACGATATTCTTGAGTAAGCTTGCTTAAGGAATGGTTAAGCAACTCTAAGAACTCTAAATGGGATGATATATGCTTGGGATGTTCATGTATGTATCAAAAGTTCAACCTCTCACTAATTTGGCTCAAAGTATGAAGATCTCTCTCTCTCTCTCTCTCTCTCTCTCTCTCTCTCCATATATATATATATATGTTCTCTCATTTCTAAGTTTTTTCCCTCCCCTCCCCCTCCCCAAAAAAAAAAAAAGTGTGAATAGTGCTCTTATTTATAGAGAAAATGGTCTAAAGGGTCAAGCCAAAGTCAACTAGACAAGGCCTAGTCGGGAAAAAAAAATATGTTTCTAATATATAACTCGGTGTCTACTCCAGTTGGGTATTGTGGGGCTTCCTAGAACTCTGTTTCTAATATATAACTCGGTGTCTACTCCAGTTGGGTATTGTGGGGCTTCCTAGAACTCAATGGGTAATGATGTTGTTTGGGTAGTTCTCTACCATTTGACCTAATCTACACGCTTCATTCCTATGTGTACAAGTGATTCGGTTGATTATCTAGCTGAGTTATACATTAGAGACATAGTTCGACCCCACAGAATTTCGGTGACCATTGCTTTGGATAGGATCCGTGTTTCACGGCTCGATTGTAGCAAAGCCTCTAGGATGCTTTGGCAACAAAATTTACTTTTAACACCGCTTATCACCTTCAAGCCGATGGGGTAATCTAATTGTACCATTCAAATCCTAGAGGACATGTTGCAAGTACGTGTTCTTGATTTTAAGGGGTTGTGGAAGATACATCTACCATTGGTTGAGTTTGCATACAATAATACCTACCAAGCTAGCATTGGGATGGCACATTTCGAGGCCTTTTATAGTTGACCTTGTAGATCACTAGTATGTTGGGCCAAGGTAGGGGATGCACCTATGTTTGAGGTTAGTGTTAGTGCGTGAGAGGACAGAGATGGTTGCTCTAATCTAATTGAAATTGGCTACAACTTAGAGTCATCAAAAGCACTATGTTGACCAAAAGAGGAGACCTCTATTCTTTGAGATCGGTGACTGTGTTTCTTAAGATCTGCTCGAGATGGGTTTGATGAGAATTGGGCAAAGTGGAATTTTTTTTTCTTGATTTATTAGGCCTTTTGACATCGAGCAGATTAAGAAGGTAGCATACCGTCTAGCCCTACCACCCCAACTTCAAGGGGTTCACATCATAATTCACATATCTATGCTTCGGAAGTATGAAAAGTTACTAGTTCAAATTTTAGACACCTGGGAACAAGTGTTGAAGAGTGACTATGTTTTTGGTAAGGGTGTTGTAGAGGCACCACAGAGTAGAAGAGACAACCTGGGAACGGAGAGCGGAAGTCTGCTCTAAATACCAAAACTTGTTCAAAGGTACTTAATTAATTAATTTTTTTCGAACTTGATTTTATTTAGCTAATATTGCATTCGCTATATTCCTTTTATTACATTGTTTTAATTTCAGGAACGAAATTCTCTAAGATGGGGAGGTTGTGATGTGCCGAGTCGTTGACCCAACTTGTTTGTACCTATTCGGAGCCTTGTGCATTATGTGGGGTCATAGTGATTACGAATCGAACCGTCTCTAGCCCTTCTAACTATTTTCAAGTTAGAATTTTTTGAGTTTTGGGCGTAAGGACGAATCAAAGAAGTGTGGGAAAGCCTTAAAAAGGATTTTGGCAACCTAGATATTTTTGCACGTGCGGCTGGTAAGGCCTCCAGGTGCAGTTTGGTGCAAGCTCATTTTGATTTTCTAGGTTTGGGGCAGCATGTATGGTAGGTTGGGCTTGTACGTATAACAAGGTGGAGTAGCAACTTGAGATCAGGTTCGTATAAGTTAGTATACATCATAAATATTTGATCTGAATTAGGTTGGATCCTCCAAAACAGCAAAATGACCCAAAAAGCAAAGTTTTTAAGTAAAGTAAACAGCACTACACTTGTGGCACCATCCCAGACGTGCGACAAACATTTCCCGTACGTGTAGCTTGCCTCGGTTTGCATGCGCGACTTTCTAAATCTGTTTCCTATGCCTCCAAAGTATAAAAGGAGAGAGAAAAAGAAGGGTTCAAATGTTTTCTGACGAATGAGGGAGGCTAGGGTTTTAAGAGAGAAAGCTTCGAACTTTAAGGTTGTCTTCGATGGTGGCCTCATTGTCTACCTCTTCGCACTACTCCATGAGTGGCTAGTTCTCCTATTTCTAAGGTATTGATGAAACCCTAGCCATGTAAATAGAGTTTTAACTGGCTTTGATTGTTTAAACAGTTTGAACGAATTGTATGAATGTTTTAATAGTTTTAATTTCATGTCTTCCTATCATTTTTAGTATTCTTCTTTTTGTGATTGAATAATGCTTTTCATACAACGGTTTTCTTTATGTTGTATTCAAAGTATGAGACGAGTCATGCTACGAGAGGCGAGTCACGCTACGAGAGACTAGTCATGTTGCTACTTTAGGCTTGGTTTGGCATGTCCTAAATAATACAAAAAGTCAAAAAGTCACTATCCTATTTAAGTCACATCATCTTATTTAAATCACATCACCTCTCTAACACATCACATCAAACACAATCCAAACCCAACCCATATAAGCCAATAAGTCAAAAAGTATACTTTTTTAGAACATCCCAAACCAACCCTTAGTCTAGAGTGAACATCTCGTACTACTTGAGATGATTCGTGCCTATACGTTGAATGCAACAATCCTCTTGATCAATGTTCCAAACTAGTAATTGCGAAACATTGGGTAGTTCAAACCAGATTGCAATTTATTTTCGATGTCAAACCCTAATTATGAGACTAGCGGTTGATTCTTTGCTCTAGGGTTCTCCCTAAATCAATTTTACAGAGCCCAATTTTTATTTCTAATTTAATTTCGTATGTTCATTTGAATTCTCATCAAGAATTTACATCTAATTAATTTAAAAATCTTGCAATTAAAATAGTTTAATTTCACATTAGTCCCTATGGATTG